AAGGATACATTATAGGCGCGAGGAAGATGTCCAAATTCGAGTGCGTATATATAGTCCAAATCGCGTACGCACGTTTCACGATCACGCGATTCACGAACAAGGGAAACAACTGTCGCGTGTCACTCGCGCGATATCACGTAATATATATATATATATATATATATACGATAGATAATATGACAAATGCACGATATTCGGCACACTCTCGATGTAATGTAATGTCCGTCAGAATCGCCGTTTTTTTTTTTTAACAATGCGAGGCAAACACACGAGGCTTTTGAGCGCGCACCGACAATCGCGGCGCTAGGACGAGTGACTGATTATTGCCCGACGAACGCGAATTCAGCACCCCTGTTGTTTATTTTCGTACGTATAGCGCGTAGCCGTTTTGTAGCGCGGCGGGTGTAAAGCGCGACGCGCGCGGTAAAGGTCGAGAGAGGTTAAGGTCGCGCGTTGCTCACCGCGCGATGACCGGTGCAAATTGTTTTGCGGCTATAATCGCGACGCTATTGGCAATTCGGCCGTTCCGTGACGACGCCACTATACATTCTCGGTGCTTAGGCGACAGCGTTCCCCGTGATTGCGCGTTACATTAACGTTGTCGAGCGTTAATCACCCACCGATCTCGATTACACACGCCGCGTCCGTTTAATCGCTCGTCCATTTGAAAGCGCGTGTTTCGGAAAAATTGTCCAAGCGTCGCGGCGTAGCGTTTTGTGAATACCAATTGAATGCAATTGTCGCTCCATGTGTACTAAAAACAATCGGAATAAAGAAGGAAAATGTGAAAATAAAATCGTGTGTGTGTATTATCGGGATTGAATTAAATCTCGCAATAAAGTGTTATTGCACGCCAAGTTATTGGACGCATCCAGCAGCGCGACCGCTCATTAAGCGACTAAGTAGCGGTCGAATGTGCGTGATTGGTTCTTTAGATCCAACCAATCATATTAAACTAAAGTGAGCGGTTGTGCTATTGAATACTATAATCGCTATAAGTAGCTAATTGTAAGTGCAATTGAATGTGTTTGGTTGGATCTGAAGGATCAGAATTGAAAAGTAACGCGTTACTTGTAACGCCATTACCGTTTTTATTATTTTTTTTCAATAACAATTTTTTTTTCTATCTGTAACGGTATAACGGGTTATTTTTTCAAATCAGTAACGAGTTGCTTTTTACAAAAAAAAAAAATAACGGTAATGGTAACGCTTTATTTTTTAACATTCCCTGATGAGAACCAATCACATTCGATTGCTACACTTAAGTGAACGGTTGCGCTACTGGACGGAGCGGGAGTCAGATAGCTCACATCGCCAGACGAACCAATAGATTAATTTAATATAAAATTTTCTGATTGGTGGTCCACTGGAAAATTTCTAGGCATCGGCCGATTTGAGTGGATATGTGTTGTTAGGACGTGATACTATAATGGGATCCCTCCCACTGAATGCACCCATATAGCCTCCATCGGGCTTAACGATAAAACGCGTATCATTTGAAAAAGTCGCGGATAGTCACGTGATCGATGTAACGTTTCGTTGTTGAACAATAGTCCTGTTATTTCGTGCCGTAATCGAGAATTGGTGTGAAAACGCTTTTCATGCGGAAATCGCGTGCGTAATTAAAAGTGTTCGCATACGCTAAATGAATAACATGAGATCGTTGCGCGTCGTCTCGTGTCAAAGTATCGTTATTAATTATCTCTCTAAATCTCATTGTTTAATTTCGCGTTGATTAGAAATCGGGCCGTATAAAGTTGCCGTTCTACCCACGTTAATTCGCGTTCATGCCTAATCCCACGTACGAGTGTCGCGCGTGTCGCGTCATAGAAATTACACTTACATATTCGTACACTTCACGCCGGTCGGCGTCTGTATTCTCGCGTTCCGCAAACGACGTTTCTTCCGCGGAAATGAATCTGGCGTGCAAATTGTATCGTCGAATCGCGTATCGAACTGTCATCAATTGTGACAATATTATACAGTCACAAGCGGAGCCGCGCGCTGTGTGCGAATCGTACACGCGTTGAGATGAGAGTGCGACACTGCAGAGTCGAAGCGGCGTGAAGTCGCGCTCGGCGATCATCGCCAAGTTCACGTCGCTCGTCAATGGGGCGACGCGCCGCGCTACGGGCTCCTCTTACCGTGTCACTCACGTCGCGTCGCGTTTCAAAGCGATACGGTATAAGATCGCCCCACTCTTCGCGCACGCCAGCAGACAAACGTCTCCTCGCGAATGTAAACAAATACCGGACGCGTCTAATCGTATATACACACGACGGTCGGGCACTGGCCATTCAAGCGCGCGAGCGTCGTGTCGCGTGTGTGAATCGCGTCGCGAAGATCAGCGCGCGGCCGAATCTCACGTTGGCGCGCGTCTCGCATTGTAAGCTGTTGCATAAGTACGGCCGAACGTGGGAGCCACGAAGCCGCGGACGCGTCTGCGGGAGTGTCGAATCACACGTGTCGCGCTATATCGTTAACCGGTTCCGCGGAGAGAGAAATATGTCGAGAAAATTGTCGCGCGATGATCGTGGCGCTTGAGTCATTGCGGGACGGTTAACCCTGCACCCACGCGGAGAAGGAGCTGGACAGCCGCCGAGAATCGAGTTTCGCATTTTCTGGATGGTACGTACCTTCGAGCGAGCGGCGTCAATCCCTGCTCCGCTAGTGAAACACCGAACGAGGAGGAAAGAGGAGGGAAAGCGCCGGGGTGAGATAACACGAAACGAAGTATTTATCGGTTAACTTGTCGTCTCGGCGGGCCGGGGAGGATATGCATGGTGGGAGATATCATCGCGGGAGGGATTGCGCAAACATTTCCCGGGGGCACGCGAATGAACACCCGGATATCTAAACACGATGAGCGGAATTATGCACAAACATCTCGTACGACAACACCACCGTGCGCGACGCTCTCTAAGTGTTCGGCGGGGGGGTGGGGAGGGGGGAGGGGGAGACGGAGGAGGAAGGAAAGAGTTAACTCTCTCGCGAAAGTATCAATATGCATAAGGGGCCCGTCGATGCTGCCTCGAGTAGATACAGACGTAACGGGTCATGAATTATGAATCGCGTTCGACGGATGAACAGTGTGTTTTCTCTATTTCCTCGTGGCGATCCTGCAGGCGCGGCGGCGCGGGCGGGAGGACAAAAGTGAGCCCCCGGTGTATCGAGAGTTAATGAATATTTGGTCGCGATTATTGCTAACGCAAATATTTTCTTACGACGGATAATTAAAGATCTCGACGTCAGAGTCAGACCCCTCGTCGGAGCTTGGCCCCGGAAGGCTTAATTGTCGGCCAATTTTAAACTTGTCTGTTATACGGACTCGGCTCTTGTTGCATGATAACGCAGTAATGAAGCAATATAGACCAGATAAGAACCGATATCGCGCTATAAAAATGATATGGCAGAAAAGTGAACCGATATTCCCTTCAGCCTTTTAGACCCGAGCGATTGTTGCTCCGATATTCAGATGTCGTTAATATCCACAACGTAAATATACGCTAATGCACCGTAACAATATCATATTGAGGTTTTAATATTTTATACGCTTTAATTGATAACGAATGCATTCTAGCGCGACGAGAGCGTCGTAACATTTTTAAACTCGATCGCCGATGTAGAATATTCCCATGAAAATTTCCACTAGCACGTTTTCTCCTGTTCTCCGGACATAAAAACAAGGTAAATGTTTAAGAACAAATACAACTGTAAAATTAAATACAGTGAAAACAAAAATTACAAGTTATTGGACTCTTTATAGGATGTAATAATATTGATTTTGTCAATTTTTTAAATTGAAATATTTTTCAGTCTTATTTTTTATAAATCTTTAATATCTCTCGTTTCCTGTGACGAACATACATTTATATTGTAGCCAATATTATAATCAATATTATATAACATAATATAATAGTCAATATTATATTGTCTACATAAGTGTCATATTTATCCGTAATTAACTAACGCATTCTCTCTCTCTCTCTCTCTCTCTCTCATTTATAGTCGATAACTTAATAATAATATTCAAAAATTGCACAATATTGAATTAAATTTATTTTTTTGCTATATTTTTTTCTTTTCTTGCTGTTTTCTTTTCTTTTTAATATTATTAATATTTTGATCAATCGTCCTTTTATTTAATCATTGAATTTACTCTATCGACTGATGCCATTTATCAGCGTACGAGCATACTCTGTTTTGATATTTACTCTACCGATAAATTCCTAGTTTATTATATCAGTAGGCAGTAAAAAGAAAAGGAAATTTGTATTCTTTGTTAATACAAATCTGAACGAGCCATTTTAGAAAATGTCGAATTCTGGAGGCAATAAATATCTAATAAATTTGTATTACTATGATGTGTTTATTTAGATTAGTTTCTCGAAAAACCCTTTTAGTTCTTGATTTCCAATCGATCAATGTAATTAGAAGCTAGATTCGCTGATGTAAAGAACGATAGATAAAATTGAAATTATTGAAGATAATATTATTTAAATATAATATGATAATATTATGACGTAATGATACATGAATATTATAACTATGATCAAGGCGATCCTAAAGGAAATGAGACGTTAATTCACGTAGGATCGATTCTACCAAGTAAAAAATGATAAATAAAACTGAAATTATTGAAGATGATATTGTAATGATACAATATTATAATTTAAAGGAAATGAGACGTTAACTCACGTAGGATCGATTCTACCAACGTAAGCTAACTCTAATATATAAATTAATTAACGCTTGTACAACACCACGAATCTAAATAAAAGGGCAGTTAGTTGAACATTTGCATTGGCGAGAATTATGCAACGTTGGTAGAATCGTATCGATGCAAGAATTCTACGTTATCAACCTCGTTGCTGGTTTTCACTCTTGAAATAATCTGTGCCAGAGGACGCATAGCTCCGCGCTGCGTCGCGGCAAGGGTTGCGGGGCGCAGGAGCACGAGCGTCGTCCTCCGGGTTGCCGTCCGGCAGGAGTTCAGTCGGTGCCGGTCGGTCCCGAGAGCCGTTCACATCCTGCGGGACGCAAAAATTTAAAATGGCAATAGACATGTACATTTGATAGGGTGGTCCACTCGACAAGAGAGAGAAAGCTGATTCGGTTTTAACGTAACGCACGATAATGAGCGAGTGAAAACGGAAACGGAGAGAGGAAGAGAGTAGGGGAGAGAGAGAGAGAGAGAGAGAGAGAGAGAGAGAGAGAGAGAAAGCGAGGGTCGCGATGAACGGATAAATATCGGTGCAACCATCATCAGTCGTGCATCTTCCGAGCGGGAGAGAGGGGTGCGATACTACCCTCTTCTCGCACAGCACACGCATAATCGTCGAGAGAAGAGTGGCGGATCGAGAGTGGACTACTAGTCGTGCTGTGACGGAAGTTAGGCGCTCTCGACGGTATGCCCGTGACGAGTCGCGACGCGAGATAAAGGTGAGCAATTAAGATTAACTCCCGTTACTGCCGAAGTGTATTGGGCATACCCGAGAATTTGTGAGGTATCTCGATTCCGTTATAGAAAATTAGTTTCGAGCGTTGCCGAAGAAATGAGAAATTTGTCGGTCGCACTCGTCGTCCTGATTAGAAGAGATAAGGAACACTGTGACGAATTAAGAATTGATTTAACGAGATTTTTTTTTTTTTCGAGAGAAATGTTTGGATAGAAAGAAAATTGTGCTTAAATGTGTAAATTTTTCTAGTGTTGTCGTAGAACTATTATTTTGTTGTCTCAATAGTAGCAATTCTAAAGTAGTTTTTTTATTGCCAAGATCAGCGCTTTACAATGGTGCGTTGAAATATTGGCGAATGTAAGTTTATAGACAATTTTGTATTAGTTAATGGATCGTTATTAATTTGTACCTTAAAATAGTTGTTGTGTGTAGATAATAACACGTGAAATAAATTAGATTAATTAGATGATAATGCTAACGAAGAGCGAAAAACGTCACACAGACTATTAAGCTGAAACGATTGTGAAAACGATAGAGAAAGCTATGGTAAGTCCGTGAGTTTCGAATAAGAAAATAATAAAAGGAGATGAAAGAATAAAAGTTTGAAGTATTGGTGAAAGGTTGTCCTTAGTTGATTTTAACTTCCAGCATGAATGGAGAAATGAGAAACGGGAGGAATACTTTTTCCCGATAAGCTCCAGGCACAATGAATTCTTGCAATTGAAAATGGTTGCAGCTTTTATCTTATGATTTTATTAAAACGGATAAGATTTTCGGATTGATAAAATTAAGATTTCTTAGAACAAATGCGAGCAATTATGTATTCGCTGGATTATCATGAATAAAATGCTTTTGTAGTAAAAGCTGAAAGATGATGATGAATCGATTATGCTTTTGTGTTGCATGATTAATCGGTGGTCATTTGTTAAAGTTAAGAATATACAGACGGCTACATGTAATATTTGTATGTTCGCAAAGAAAGCATGCACGTACATTAGAAATATATAACAATCAGTATAACGTAATGCACATGATTATGATATAATCACGTATTTTTATACATAATATATACAAAAATTTGAACAACCAAACGATTTTAGGTAAGATTATTTTTTGGCGATGCATACATGTGTAGAGATGTGAAAGGATATTGTAAGAATGTGTTGGAATTTATCGTGAAAAGAAACAGAAATTGTGTATACTTATGTGCATATTTTATATACATATTTTATAGCATTATGTACATTTGATGGCAAGCTATTCGCTTGATATGGCATAATTCCGTTGCGTTTTACAATTTTATGTAAAGGAGCATAATATATATACGATGCATATAGTACAATGACACGTATTTTGCATAAGAATAGGCGATATCGTAGAAGATCGTTTATCACTGAACTCACCAGTATGGTAATATGGTATTTTCGTGAATTTTGTTTACAACTCCTAACGTTTAACTCTGATCTTCCGTGACTTTATACATTGAGGATTTTCGCGCTGGTGCCGAGGAAAGGAAAGGGTAGTTGAAGGGGGATCAACATAAATTTCACGATTTATTGGTTCTCACAAGGTAGCCAGCAATATCAAATTCGACTTAACGACACACTCAAAGCTTTTCTTCCATCTGATTTATCAGCACGGACATTAAGTCTCATGGGTAATGCTGGTTATTCTGTGGCAAGATTCTTAATATTCCCGTGAAAGTAATTTAGGGAAATCCAATCAATTTTCCAATAGTAAAATATCGGCATCTGTCTTCCGCTCGACAGTGTTAATCCCTTTCTATCGCCATCTCCTTCGCAGCAATCGCAGTATGCATAATTTGAAAGGCAAATTTTATTAAAGAGAAAACGCGCATACATACAATATATATATATATATATATAGTTTTATTATTACATGTATTTCAATATTAATTCATATATTTTCTTTTACAAATAAAAACACTTCAGGAAAAGAGAAATTATAAAGTTAAAAAAAGACGCAGGTTATCAACACAAGTCAATAATCTTGCAGTCAATGATCACAGAGCGCTGTGAAGGTTACATCTCTTCGGTTTTCCGATTTGCCCTTCGATCGTTCCGCTTCCGGAATGTTGCCCTCCCAATTCTAGCTCGCGACCATAACGTAAATTAGACCAACCGGTCGGTCGATCGCGCGAAAAGTTCCGCGCCGCGTGCGACGGACGCGTCACGTCGCCTAGAGGAAATTGTCGGATTCAGTCGGAAATTGCGAAATTCTCTCTGATAGCAACGATCTCCAGGCTCGGTTGCGGCTCTTGCGCGCTGTTCCTGTCCTCTCCCTTACCCAGGATGTACGCATCGTATGGATCTTTCGTTCTGTAGCGAGGATTTCATCTCGCGATTACGTCGCTTCGCCCCTCGACCGGTTTAATGAAGGCCCCGCCGATACCTTTCACGGAGATATCGAATCTTCAAAGAGCAGTCTCCGATCCCTTATCAGCGTCACCCACGGACGCACTAGCGAGTTCATAGCAGGCAGGATTGGAAAATCCTCTTCGCGGAGATAAGTCGAAAAGGAAGGAGAACTTCCTCGGGTCGCGTTTGCTCGCGCTATAGTATAGTATCTAGTGACACATGATATAGCATGTACATAGCTGGTTCTTGATAAGCCTGCCGAGGTCAAGATATTTTTACGAAATTGCATTCGAATGCGAGGATTTGAGTTGGGGATCTCTTTGCACTTTTTACTCTTTTTCAACTAAGAATTCATGATAATTGTGAGAAGTAAATTAATATTTGGATTCAATAAAAAAAAATTAGTAGAAGAAAAATTACTTTGAAATGCAGAATGCAAATGGGCAGTTAATATAATTTTTTTAATAATATTGGATATATCTAAAATTAATCGGTTTAATAAAGAGAGCACGCGAAGAAATAATATTAATTTCATATATTTGGTTTCATTTTTACCGATTTCTTCCTGATAGCTAGTTGATCGTTCAACTAAAAAAGCTTTGAAAACGTTAGCCATGATAGCAAACAGGAGAAATGTATGCTTGCATGGGTAAAACCACAGATCATAAAACGAGCCGTTTGCATGTTTCCTTTTTTATTAGATGTTCCACCACGAACGTTGAATTCATCTCATGTACGGCATCAGGTTCCCACTGTTTGCTTACTCGAAAAGGTCAATATTTCGAATGAGAGCTCGCAGTACGATATTTCCTTTTATCCTTTTAGATAATATAGGCAATATGCACGTTAAAAGGAAATCTTTATTTTTAAAACGACATGAAAATATACAAGTTAGCAGGAAATATATTTTAATTTTCAGGCAGAAACAGAACTGTACGAAAAGTAGAATTGCGTAATCATGCATGGATACGTATATCATTATATTTAGAGAGATATATGTTTTAATCTGTAAAAGAGAAAAAAAATTAATATTTTAGTTACGCGGAAATATGCATTATTTAAAAATATATTATAATTTCACACACTTTCTTAAATTCGTAAAATAAATTAATAAAAGAAACTTCTACAAAGAGTATTAAGATATAAAATATTTACTAGAAAAAAGTTTTCAGAATATTTCATGAACAATATGTTGTAAATATTCCAAAAAAGCATTTTTGCGATTCTCTTATTCAAACGTATTTTGAATTGTACTATACAAAGAAGTAAATGCGCTTCTTTCGGGCAATAGAAATATTATGAATCATTAAACACGATTCTGTTTGAATGTCATGATTATTCATTCGCCTGTAACGTAGTCTCAGTTATATTTTAGACTTGACGTTCAATGCAACTTGTTAGGAGCGAGAGCGGAGAATACGATGATAGTGTTCCAATAAGTTTTCAACGTGAAATTGAAATCCTGCGAGCTGCGAGCGTAAACTCGTTACTTATTCGTCCGGAAGCGCCGTAACAGCGTTGCGAAACTCTCGGTCGGAATGGCATGGTGCGCTGTATCCTCAATCGTTTAGCGTGAGAGCGTGTTGGGGCCCTATCGCGCTCGTTTCCCTCGTGGCCCGAAACTTAGGACCGTCGCATCGACATGTCGCATACCGTTTATCCTTTAATTTACGTTCTGATGTCATGCTCGTTTACTAGCTGAAATCGCATGCGGAGAGGCAAACAGAATCAGTGCAGTTTGACTTTGATTTTATCATATATTTTCTTTTCGAATCTTTTCCTTTCCTCTCGTATGCTTTTTCAATATTTACTATATTCAAAATATACTTATACTCTTTTAAATCCTTTTTATATCTCTTATATTTATATTTTGGGAGATTCGAGAAGAAAATGTGCGATAAAATTATATATGTATTTTTCAGAGAATAATTTAGCATTGTATTTAAAAAATATAATATTTGATTTTAATAGATTGATTTTTCAAAAATATAAAATTCTGTGAGATTAAGTATCTCGGTATCTCTTTAGAAACAAGAATATATTTTTTAAAAGAAATAAAATTATATGATGTCTAACGAAGTCGTTAAATTCGTAAATATGATTGATCTATCGCAAAAAGGCAGAAAAAATGTACGTAATATCAAGCAAATTCTCGTTGATTTTTTTTTATCTCGTCCACGTTCGCAAAGTTATGGATCGCGTCGCAGGAAGAACAGAGGAGAAAAGAGAATCACGCGTCTCCGTTTTATATTATTAACAGAGTCATTCGTCGCCGATGGCACGTGACCAGCATAATACCGATAGTTGCACGTGCAATGCGCAAGCACTTCCTTCCTGATGTATTACGGAGCTGAAGTATTTTGTATTTAATGATCTTTTTTTCAATATCTTAAATAACTGAAAATCTTTACTCAGAGTGATTACAGCATCAGAGTGATTCTATTATATTTTGAATGGCAATTGCAGTGTCTTATCAATTTACTATTATAGTAATTTATACTATTCTATAGTTTTTAATAAGTACACTCAGGGAAATGTTTCGCTGTTCCAGCCAGAATTCTAAATATTACACTTAAATTACATCGCTGTTTTTTTATCTGCTAAAAAATTGTCATATGTAAAATTTATAGCAGCAATATTCTAAGAATATATACAAGAAAATATAGGTCTCATAACCAAATATGATTGGAGTCTGGATTGGAGTCTGGACTAATTAAACGTAGAGGAACTTTCTTGCTAAATATGACAAATAGTATATACAGATATAATTTCTATCTCTATTATCTACATTGATTAAATACAAAACATATATGGTGGTGGATTAAATACAAAATATATCGTAGTGCTTACTAATCACTTATCCGTTTTAGCTAATTTTTCGTACCTAAATAATTCTCGCTATAATTGCAAGATTACTTTTTTCAGTGTAAGACATTAATTTGGTACAAAAATAGCGTTACTGTCTCGATAACTTAAAAAGACCGCCGGCGTTACTAGTATGCTTTTCAGTGCACCAACAATGCATCATGCCACAGTGATGCATACGCAAATTCGATCCGACCTGGAACAAGAGACGGTGCCACAAAGGCTCGTGAAATTCAAAATTGCGAACGAGAGAGATTCTCTTTTCCTCCCCTCTTAACGCCCCCTTGGCGTGTAATATCGTGCTCGTGAGTGAGGATCAGGTTTACGTTGGGCTTTAAACTGAAGTTACAGACGTTCGAGGATATTGCCCGTATTACATTTTTAGGAGAATCCGATTTAAAAGGCTGTTTCTTTTGCGAATATAATTGGCGTTTTCGCGCGTGAAGAATAAATCAGATCGACAAATAGTGGCGAGGATTAACTGTCGCGCCTACATTTTTCAATCACGAAACGATCCTCGGTACGATAAATTCTTTCCGGGACAAATTCGTAAGGAGATTGGATGCGTTCAATGAAGCGTAATAAATCTTTATTCTGCGAAATGCGATATTATTGGCTTTTTTTCAATGATAAACGACTAAGTGACTCTTTTTGGGCTATTGATACTACATATTATGAAATTACGCGAAACGATCTCCATTTAATTAAATACGTACGCGTGTTTTTAATCATTTTGAATCATAAAGAGATAAAAATGCTTTAAAGAAATTGATTTATACAGAGTTTACTATAATAACTTGTAATATTTTAATGATGAAATTTTAGAAATGTTTGTTTTTAATTTCATATACCTAATTGGCCAATTAAAACCACAAAGCTTTATCGCAGATTTGTAGTTAAAAATTTATGTTGATGTAACAGTAGGTAATAAAAAGTCAGTATATAACACATAAAATAATAACTGCTTATATTGAAAATATCGATAATTTATGTTTTTTTATTAAACTTTTGTTTATTAGATACAATATATTGCCCAAAGATTGATTATGGCCGATTAATAAGGAATTGCAATCGATAGTCGATTCATCTTGGAACAAAAGGTGGTCAAAAGGTTTCATAAAATTCATAATTGCGAACGAATTGATACTTATTATAGAAAATATTATTAGTTTGTAAAATTATTTAATATTATTCGATTAAATAAAATATAAATACATTAAATGTTAATATTAAATGTTTTAAAATAATACTTGAACTGCGAATATTATTTTATTCATTCCTAAATAGCATCAAACTTGACGTCACGATCATTGTATAAATAATGAACGTGTGTACACATAATGTTTTTTTATAATTAAAAAAAAAAATGATTGCAATTTCATATCGCGCAGTCGGAATCTCGTTTATCTTTTGCGACGGGTTTTATATACCGGTGCGGAAAACAGGCACCATATTTACACGGCGGAATAAAAGGAATTGTGTGACTGGCACGCGAATAGGTAGACGTTCGTACATATGTTCGTACATATATACTCATTTTACGTATACGTTACAGAAAATGAACGTAACAAAATAACGTGATATTTTGCAATTGGATTCTAGGTGGGACCGAAGGGACGAGCATCTTATCCTGAAGGGAGCAGCGGGAGACGGAAATATGGGAAAAGGGGACAAGAGAGGCGTTACGCAGCGCAGTGATGGTGAGTTTGTTCTGTCAACAATTTTAAGCGCAGATTAATAATAAGGGAAATACAGAGTGGTATTATATTATACCAGAGAAATTAAATATTGTTGTGGATCTCCATAATTCAAGATTGTTGATTTTTCTAGCAATTAGAAAAGGGAATAATATTAACGCATAAAATTTTAGAAGAAATTAAAAAAAAATTGTCTAAATCTTACGTTTTATGGAAAATCGAAACAAAAGCAAAAAATAATATTTAGAGAAATATTTATTATTTGTGGGTATCTCTATTAGATAAAAAAGTATAATAAACGATGTATGGTACAATCGCCACTTTCTTTGCTATTAGAATACCTTTTACGAGACAAATATATTTTTATTACAAAACATAAATTTACACAACGCGGTTAAAAGCGACCCGTTTTCTTACTCTTTCGCTTGAAAATCATTTGTTTCGTCGCCTATTTCGTGACACACCCGCTTTACGTTCAAAATCGCGATCAAAGAAATCTCACAAACTGGAAACACGCTGCCACGCACGTAGAACGACCAGAGAACGTTTTGCCTGTCGATCGAGCCAGGCAAAGGTGACATTGGACGATCGGAATTTCGATACGCGAATATCGTGTCTCGTACGTTATCGACGTTATCTCGGGAAAAGGAATAGTATATATATATATATATATATATATATATATATATATATATGCGAATATGTATATGTATAGCGGAGGAATTGAATCGAAGGACGAACAGCGCGGAGAGACCACACTGCGTACATTTGCGCTTCCACCCTTATTTTCCACTTCCTCGATACAAGGTACGTCGCCCCCGCGTTACCTATCGTTGTTTGCTCGTTGCATATTTGCGACTACTCGTAAGAGATACCTCGATACCGCGCGAGAGTGCTTGCTTGCCCTCTCGACTGTGCACACACTCGCGACATTGTTGCATCCCGGATTTCGGTGCAGTCGTGTTTCCACTTCAGCGCTATTTGTTCCTCGCATCTGCCCGTAAGCCGTTTGTTAAAAACGAAATTCAATGTGAAAATACCAACACGGTATAGCGTAACATAAATTGAAACAAATTAAGCATCCTCGAATAGCTTAACATAAGAAGTACATAACCAATTAATTATTAGTAATCTTTCGTGGAAAATGAATAAATTAATAAGCCGATTGTGTGTGTAAATTAATTGCGACGACAATTACGATATTATCTAGCTTGTAACGGGAATGTAAAAGCAGTAAATCTCTGAAATACTTCAATCATGCGAACAGTTGTTAGATGCGCACGTTCGCGAACAATGATGCATGGCTGATTTCTCGCGGCGCAGTTTTACATACGAGAGAATCTGGAACGTTTCCGGCGTCGCTCGCTATTCTACTTTATTCGTATTCTACGGATGAAAAGAAAGTGAGGATAGTGATGTAATGTTCCTGCATTTGTGAATGCGGCAATATTATTCGCAAGAGCAAACATTTTACGGTTCCAAGATATATTAATCGAAGTCAAATTAATATCTTGTTAGGAAATAAAAATCACTTAGATTAATCAATAATAAATAATTAAAATATATGAACCTGCATTTAATATATTTGCAAATATATATATATATATATATATATATATATTCATTATATGTATATTTATATGAAAGAGAATTACTAGGAACATCGAACTTTTTATTGAAGACGTGAAAGAATGAGTTACAATGAGGTTTTCTTTGCCGTTAAATTATTAAATACCCATGGAAAGAGGAATGTAATAATCCTAGATGCTGAAGGTATCTTTGATGAAAGAACGATTTAGCTTGAATTGCTTTTGAGAGCAATTCGCAATCCGCAAAATTCCAATCGCGAACATAGGGCGGCCAAGAAAACCTTTCAAAACTCGACGCGTTAGGTGACTCTTTTAGGGGAACAATACGAGTGATTCAACAAAAGCAACATGCTGACACAAAGGCGGCACGTGTGCATGCGGATGGACCGTTTGTCACTACAGGTGCACGGTTTTCCGGTGCAGAGCATCGCGCGAGTTATCTATTTGCGCGCGGATGCATCAGACCAACGACAGAACGTGCGCTCGCTTGTTGTCCGCCAAGTCGAGACAAGAAGATGAGAGATGAGGTCGTAAGAGAAAAAAGAAATGGAAAGCTTTTTCACGTCGTGAACCTTGTTTCAGTAGAAAGGAACTGTTGCATCCGCGTCGTTCAAGTCGCTTTATTAATGAGCAAAAGTATATTTTCTTCAGTTGCGGCGCGGCGGAATAATTTTATACAATTTTAATATCTATGTCTCTTTTATCTTTAATTTATTAATCTAATTTTTTACTTTTATTTTACAGTTTAAATTTATAGTTTTATCTTACATTTTTAATGTGCAAGATAAATATACATGAGGTGTTGTTATTTAAATTGTAGCAATTGATATCTTTACTAAATAATAAAGATATAATACAATAATTGTAATTATATTTCGCTTAGTAACGTAATATCAAAAAATTGTATTAACATTAAGAAAGAGATATCCTTTGAATTAAACGTCATAGATCTTTTGACAAAAGCTCGACGTGCCTTTAATGGAAAAGTCGCGAGTCGCATTGTATCGAGACCAGTCGAGTCTGATGAATCGTATTATCTCGTTGCGTTGTTCAAAGTAAAGGGATAATCGGGGAAAAAATGCAGTTAAATCGCGAAAGAATGGCACACGAATGAGGACATCTTGGATCGAGTTAAACATATTGAGAAGACAATCTCCTTGGGGATGATCCTTGAGGTTGTTGGACGCGCGTCTGTTGGCGACGTGTGCTGTCGACGGGCGACTCTGTCGACAGTCTGTTGTTAGGGGTTTATATGTACGTGCTGGGGAGAAACTTTAGACAGAAGATTTCTCTCTATCTCGCGCGAGATGATCTGTACTGTGCATCTCAGACAAGAGTTGTTGTAACGTAATACGCCGCGAAACAACTTCATCTTCCACCTGAAAGCCCATATTTTTATTTATTACATCCGATGTAGCTATAATAGCTTTTAGCCTTTCCGTAAAGATATATTTGTGTTAGCTTTGTTAATTATTGTTAATCCGCAAAAACTTATGTCTGTTTTCTTTCTTCTTTTTTTTTATTATTATATTATATGTTGAGTTTAGATGTCGTCTTTCGATTGGCAGTGCTAAAGAAGTATACGCACACTCCGCGTGTGTGAAGGATATGGAAAGATAATAGAGCGTGACAGTATGTTAACGTCGTGAAAGCGAAAGATTACTTTTTGTTAAAAAAGCAACTTGGTGATGGTTTGCATTCTGAAAATTATTTCGTAATATGTAATACGATAAAATGCAATACAATACAAATTTTAGAACACCAAAAAATATCAGATACTATTTTTTATTATATTTCTGCGTGAATAATATTATACTATGTTGCAGAAATTATTCAAATTATTATTTTTTTAATCATTTGAATATTGATGAGGGAGAAATATAAGCTATAGGAAAAAGAGCTAAACTAAACAGAAGACAATACCCGTTTGCCTTGACCACTTTGCTCAATGATTAGATGCGCCATCGTGAATTAACATAATTCGCGCACGAGTGCTAAAAGAAGCGCACGTTGTCTATTACGTAACTTAGAATCCATCCCACTTATATTTTTATTTGCGCTCAATTAATTTCAATCTCTATTTTAATGAAATTTGCGTTTTAACTATACTCGTTTGCGTTTATTAAACATGCAAGTCTGCAAGCAAATATACGGTATTTCAATTAAAATTATTGGAACGCATTGTTTCCTTTTTTGAATAGACTTCGATCGAGTGCATAAACAGTAAAAATGGTCGTTAAAGTTTGACAGGCATGCGCGCGGATGCAAAGTGACGTTTCCAATTTTCGCCGGAGTAATTTTGTACCGAATGCACATTGGCGATTGCAACTAGCGCGACATGCAATGCATTACACAAAGTGGTTGCCCGGCGTCAATAGTCGATTATTTGCTTTTGCCTTACCGCGTGTCGAGACGCGAGGGATGCGAGGTGGCGCCTTCGGATTCACAATGCGATTGATTGGACGGGAAACGTTTGCAAGCTCTTAAGCGTTGAATGGCCTCGTTATCGGTCACGGTGAGCAAAACAACGATAAAAAAAAAGAGTCGCGGGAAAGTGAAGGCGACGGTGCAGATAAATGTAATACGGTCGGAAGTTAGACTCGTCGTCGAATGTAAGCGATTATCGTAAACGCGCGAGTTATCAGTTTGAAATCTTTTTCATTTGTAAGTATGCCAAGCTACTTGCTTTTATAATTCGAAACTTTCGATTCTTACGATTCTCTTGCTATCTACAAAAAATATTTTAATAACGATTTGAGGAACTCTTGTGTGTAATCGATTTTTTTTTAGCAAGACTTGTGGTTTATTTTTCTCATAACATGCATTCTAATTTTTAATATCGTATCTTTAATTTTGAATAGTGATCAAATTTTAATAATGACTGAATCTATAAAATTCTGTTAAGGTAGGAATTAAAATTAATTGATAAATACAAATATAAAAAATATATGTATATTGTTTTTAATCAATTTTTCTATAGCTAATTTAAGCTAAAAGATAATACGATGCATAAATATTTCGAACACAGGCATCAGATTTAATTTATAAATTTATTATCAATATTACAATATTTTATGCGGTATATCTTCTTATCATAATATTAGACACGACGAGGAAGTACAACTATTTTAATACAGCTAAAAAGAATTGAATGTAATTTTTTTCATATTTCAGTTCGCTGTATAATTTGAAAGGGCGTGCAGACATGTCAATGTCGCGGCGAGTTACCGCGAATTGATCAAGTTTTACATATACGTAACGAAGTTTGATCGTTGCACACGAAGCGAAAACGTAGACAGGTTATACAAGTAGAGATAACTTTATTGCTTTCTTTGCGTACGTTACATAAATATCTGTCTGATTATAGCACATTAGAGCCTACCTCCTATATCACATGGGAAAGCTGCAGAAATACAACTCGTCTCGGCGCTACGTACAAAAGATTTACAATAGTTCTCACACGCTACGTTTGCACGTACAAACGTGACGAGGAAATGTGTCATAGGTTTTTTATGTGTTTTTTTTTCTTTACAGAGCTTTACATACGTAACTTTACACGCGCTACGCGAGGCAGTGCTTATACGATGTTGGCTAGCGATCAATATTAAGAACTAGTTGATTATTATTCTACAAAACACATTATTCTACAAAACGTTTTATTGATTTCTGACATTACTTAAAACAAATACTGCTTGCTACATTTTAAAAGTTGAAACTTTTAAACGTCTCTTAGACTATCGTTAATTACTAGTCACACTACGTAAATCTATCTAATGCGCATTATCGTTGAAATAAAGCGGATAGAAAAATATCATTTTAGTTCGCAATTATTGTAATAAAATAATATATAAACTTTATTATAGCACATCAAAGGCATAAGGTAGAGTTTTATATATTTTTTATATATTTGGCTTCCTAATTACTTTCGTCCCTGATTCAAACTTCCTTCTTTCAAAATATAATATTACTTATATAGTATTACTTTTTTTCTATAGAGAAAATAGAATTTTGCAGATATTAAAAAATCACAAATAATTGTATTGCTGGATATCAAAAATTGACGTATTTTAAAGTTTAACATTTTTATGGCATTTTCGTATTTTTCAATTTTATCTCTTTAATATTTATAAATATTTTCAGCACATTTATATTTTACGTCAAATACAGGAAAATGTATTTTAAAATTTATTTAAAATGTTATTAATGTTTTAGATATATAACGTAGATTTTAACATTATATATTCAATTCAATTTAATGTTTTTTTTTAATTGTTGAGTTTTTATCGTAAAAAGAATGAATTTCTATAAGGCTGAAATATTTATTCATGATAATTTCATGATAATTTCTTACTTAATATCGGATTATTAAAACTATTATTGATATCGCGACAAGTAAAAATATCAGAGTTTTCCGTTCTACAAATATCTAAGTCTACTTACTGAGCTCTTCTATCCAGCGACACAAATATTTGTACAGAGCCAGTAGAAGTCACACATGCACAAATTGATTTGAAGTACAGTAACTCGAAACTTTTCGTTAGAAAGAGAGAGATATTTCAATGTTGAAGAAAACTTTTTTTACTTTTTTTTTCTGTCTGTTTGATATTCGTCTCTCGAAAAGTAAAGGCTGAATCTTATCGATGTTATTAGTTTTACGCGCTTTTATAGAACTTCAGGACTTCCGTTCGGGCAGCGTCCGCGATAGAACCTCTGCATGGGTCAGGATCCCAATTAATTCCGGGGCAACCCAATGATTCAAAACACTTCACGAGGCGATTGTTGTTGGATGAACAACAGTGAACAACTGCCCAAACACACGCGCTGGGAGACTGGGCGGGTGGTCTCAGAGTCGGGGGGACAGGAAACTGTTGCACTTGTACGCCATCGCGATGCGGATTGATTCCCTGAAAACAATTTATTAATAAGGAACATAAAGAAAAAATATATACATCTATTCATGTCGTGCATGACACAATTTGCAAAAACGACATTATCTTTTTATATTCAGCAGTATCTGTTTCTTTACGTTATATCTTTTCTGAAATGATATCGTAAACTTTCGGAGACAGTGTCGGAAGAAAGAGAGAAGCGATGTTGCTCAGCGTTCGGTCAATTAAGCGGAACAAAGCTCGGCGAGCGGAGGCTTATTGGGGTCGAGGGGGCACGAATCCACCGCAACTTCCCCCGTGGTTTAATGAAGCGCGCTTTAGTTTGGTAGCGCGAGACAATTGGCGACCACGAGATCGGATTCGTTGGCGAATAAACCGCCGCCGCCCGGTGGACAGCCGAATCGGGTTTACGCGAACGAAGTGCGGTGAAGTGTTTTGACAGACAAATGGAGGACTCACCGTGAAATCGATCTCGTTCTCGAAGCCGGCCCTCGATAACACGGGCGATGTCGGCGAGGAGCCGCCAGGACGGACTATTATCCTTGCGTTCACCGGCAGAGAGTTTAGTCTGGCTAGTTCTTGTCGTCTCCACTGGTCGGTGTCCTTCTGTCTATGCTCCCTCATTCTGCAGCAGATGGAAATAGGGTCGTGTTTATCGGATGGTTCGAATGAGTAAACTCCCGCCTCGATGATACGCTTGGAATATTTCCTTAATTAAAGTCGCACTACTCACGGACTCTGATATATCGCATACAGCACGATTGTTGCTATGTAAAATTTTACGCGATTGAAGAATGTCTCAGATATACACACGAACGAAATTTATTCAATTGATTGAATTAAATCACAGCAATAATATCTTTCAACTTATGAGGTAATTAGTAATATTGATATATGTGTAATATTACAAAATAAAAAGAAATATACGAGGAATCTTGCAATTTAATTTATATATTTTTTAATACTGTTTTATATTCTTGCATTAGACTGAAATATACTTTAAATAATCTGTAATTCGCAATAGAATAATATTCATAATTTTATACATTTTGATTATACATTCTAATTTCTCAAACGTTTTTTTATAGGTTTACGTGAAACATAAAATCATAACGAAAATTTTTTCTCAAATTTTGTTGCAATTTTTAATTTAAAGATTTGTGAAATGGATAAGTGATTTGTACTTACCAATTTCATCGCAATAATACTACGTTGGAAGTAATATTAATCCCCAGCGATAAGGGAATACCAGTAAAAACAGAAATAAACGAACAGAGACAAATGATAGTAGTAACGAACATTGATAGCTGCGAAGCGCGGCTCAAATAAAGTTCGTTGGCGTCGCGCCAGATGAAAACTTCATTTTTGCGAAGCGCCGTGCCCCAAGGACCACTTACATACCTGCTTTCTTCCTGTTGTCTCTCGGCTTCCAATCTTTGCCTCTCGCGCTCTGCCGCTGCCCGTCTAGCCTCCTCCTCGGCTCGCATCAAATTACTCGGAATCGGCCGGCTATCCTGCCGTCTTCTGTGCTCCGCCAAAAGACGAGGATCCTGATAGTAGACCGGCCCTCTAGTTTCTGGCTGTTTCGTCCATCCAGCTTCGTTCCTAGATCGTTCCCTTAGCATCTCTTGCCTCCTTCTCTCGGCTTGTATCTTTGCTACCTCCAGCCGCTTCCTATCCTCCTCGTACCTCCTGGATTGCGCCTTTCTCGCCTCCTCTTCTCGCCGCATTCGTTCCTCCCGTAACCGTCTCTCTTCTGCCTCCCACTGTCGCCTGGCGAGCTCCTTCCGTCGCTCTTCCGCCTCATGCCGCTGCCGCCTCTCCTCCTCCAACCTTCTCGCCGTCTCTTGCTGCCTTCGTCTGACTTCCTCCGGTGAGCTTCGCGGATCGATATACGTAGGCGCCGACGGTCCGTGGTCTCTCTTCGCTCCTGGATCAGGATATCTGTCGCGACGCCTGGCTTCCTCAATCAGTCTCCGCTCCTCGAACCAGTTACGACCGGCCGCGGTCGATTGATTATCTCCCGATGGCACATTCACCGGTTGGTTCCTCCTGATGTAATCCTGTAGTTTTCTCTCTTCCTCTTGTTTTCTACGCTGCTTCTCCTCTCGTCGGCGGTACTCTTCATCCGTTCTCACATTTAACCGCGGATCTCTGTGCTCCTCGGGTCTGTAGCGCCGTCTCTCCTCTTCCTGTCTTCTACGCTGTTCCTCCTCTCGTCGGCGGTATTCTTCGTCCGTTCTCACATTTATTCGCGAATCTCTGTGCTCCTCGGGTCTATAGCGCCGTCTCTCCTCTTCCTGTCTTCTACGCTGCTCCTCCACTCGTCGGCGGTACTCTTCGTCGGTTCTACTCACATTCATCCGCGGATCCTCGGGTCTATAGCGCCGTCTCTCTTCTTCCGATCTTCGATCGGAATGATTGACGTTGATAGGTCGATTCCGCGCGATATATTCTCGTAGTTTCTGTTCCCGCTGTCTTTCTTCTTCTTGTCGCCTTTTTTCGTCTTGATCACGCTGTCTGATATCGTTCGGATGACTGACTGGATGTTCCGCGCGCATTAAATTCGATGGCGGCTGCTGTCGCCTTCTCTCATCTTCCTCCTCTTGCCTCCTCTTCTCTAACCATTCTCTACGACGGTCTTCTAGTCTTCTTCTATCATTTTCGGAAAGATTTCTCATTGGATCTTGTGACCGCCTTCTCTCCTCTTCTTCCTTTCTTCTTTGCGCTTCTTGCTGCGATTTATACTGTTCCTGTCTTCTTCCTTCTTCTTCTAATCGTCTTTGCCGTTCTTCCTCCCGTCTTCTCATTTCTTCATTCTGAAATCTTCGTTTTCTTTCTTCGTCACTTACAGAGCTTCTAGAGCCTGATTGTTTTAAGTTTTCTTCCTGCCATTTGCTCTGCGATCTTCTTCTCATTTCTTCTTCTTGCAATCGTTTTTGTTCTTCCTCTCTCCTTCTTAGCTCCTCATTTCTTCTGGCCATCTCCTGCATTCGATTACGCGCTGCTTCCTGCCTTTGTCGTTCTTCCATCTGTCGTCGTGTTTCTTCGTTGTCCATGCGAGGTGTTGAAGTGTTATTCAGCCTCTTACGATACTCCTCGTCTAGTCTCCTCCGCATCTCATCTTTTATCCTTTGCTCTTCCTCCTCCCTATTCAACAGCCTTCGATTAGCCTGTTGCATCCGTCGCAAATTCTCTTCGTGTATTTTCTGGTACACTGGTCTCATACTACCGATGTCAATATTCATTCCATGATGCTGATCACGTCTCCTCGATGTGTCTTGATGGTATCGCATCTCGTGCTGTCTGCGACGTTCAGTCACGGTCTGCAACTCGTCGCTGGACACGACACCTTCATCCTCGCCGAAGCCCCAATCGATCGACCGTCTCTTGCGCTTCCGCTCGCTTTTGCCATCCGCAAATCCCTCAGTATTTGCTTCGGCAAACCACAGCAACCGTCGACCGTGACTCCTGCTAGCGCCATCATCGTCCAATGAAGCGGCTTCTCGCTTCGGTTTGGTCTTCTCGTAGTTCTCAATTTCGAGATCCGCCAGAGATCGTGTGTTCGATTTCTTCTCATGGCCAGTTATGAATCCGCTAGAATTCATTGAGTTGGATCTACCCAAATCCCCTCGTTCTGGTAACTTCTCCGGTTCTCTAAACTCGTTCAGATTGTCGAAATTAAGATGACTGATACTTATATCTCCCCTGAGCGGCTTGTTCATTTCCTTCTCCAGTTTTCTGAGTCTCAACAACTCGTCCATCTCTTCATACTCTTCTTCGTCGTCATCGTATGAAACAATGTAGTCCAAGGATACCGGCGTAATGTCCGGCAACACGGACGCTGGCACCTCGCCCTTCTCCTTGTCGGGCGTATCTATCGATCTTTTCGTCTTGTGGGACGACGACGACGCTTCGAGACCCTCGCATCCAACCTGTAGCTCCGGCACGCCGCCGACACCGAAGGCGTCTCTGTTGACCAAAGGAGTCTTGGTTCGTTGTTCTTCGAAAAAGTTCGATTGCCTGTGATTAATGTTCTCACTTGTCGTTGTTGACTTGATTTCTGTTGTTTTTGTCTTTGAATTCAGATGGCCCGTCTTTTTCGGAGCCTTGCTCTTATTTCTCGACAGTAAATTTGTTGAGGGCGTGGTTGCGGTCAGTAGAGTCTTCTCTTTGGATAGATCTAGCTTGTATATTTCCATCGACCCTGGGCCTTGATCCTGGAACGTGTCGTCCGCCACAAAGGGGTCGTCCAAAAGGTCTGAAGGAGATACCACCGCTTCGCGCGAAAGCGTTTCCGGCATCTCGTAGCCGTAATCGACTTTGTCGGCCGCGAATTCCGCGTCGACGATATTCGGCAACCGCCTCTGCCAGCCTGAAAAGGGGTAGATTCGCTTTGACGAGACATTGTCCTTCAAGATATCTTCAAGCGGAAAATCTCGCTCGGTAAACTTCGCATTGTGAGATTGAGCTGCCGCTTCTGGAAAATGTATTCAGATTTTCCTTTAATAAAATATCTCAACAAATATACTTACTTACTCTAGAATTTATAAATCTAATAGCTTTTTAACTCTAATGAACCGTGTATTAAAAAATAATTATTCATAATTAATCATTATTAATTCTAATATTATTTTATAGTTGCTCGAAATATTTATTATCCGTGATAAAATATCTTTTATAAATCTTTCATAAATTTTTATACTTAAGAGATTTTTCATAATATAATTTAATTTATATAATTTAACTCGCAAAGGACACCTCTCTTTTGAAATGGTTTTGTTTAACACGAAAATTGAAAATAATTACATTCTTTTTTCGAAAATTTAATATTACCAATCGATTGGTCAGACAATTTTACATTGAGAAACACATTTTGCTTTAATTTTGCTTTTTTATTTTCAGAAGATATAAAACTTTAAAAAAATTCGCTTACAATTAGTGCGAATTTATACCCAGGTGTCCTTTACGAGTTAATAATATAGAATTTATTATCGTTTTCAAGTGTCACAAAAACAATTATCAATTTAATTAATTAAATTAATTTAAAACAAATTTAATTGATAATGATATTGATTATTTAAATAAAAATCACACTTTTTACAGGAAATTTTTTAATTTAGAAATAATTATACATATAACTTTAATACGTATAGATTTTAAAACATTGTGCAAATAAGTAATATTTTATGATCAAAACTTATTCAAGATATATTAAAATGAGTTGCATTAAATTGCAGTATATAAGAAGTTATGAACTTTGCGCATCGGATTGAGAAGTTCAAAATGATTTGACTCAATGTGTATCCAAGCAAATTGCAACTTAGAATTAGATGTTATTGAGTAAGATTTCTACCACAAATTAGGTATACTCAGAAACTTAATTTTAACTATTCTCGCACACATTAACACTCAGCTTAAAATGCCGGTTTAATTTAAATTTAATCTAACAGGCGAGATTCTTAAAAGACATTTAATAATGGTTTCATACAAGGCTAAACTAATATAATTGCATACTACAGTGACGTGAGTAATGCTCGACGCCAATTTATTTCCCCGAAATTCTTGCATGCTATTATAATGTAAAGATCAGAGTTTGTGTGTGTGTGTTATTCGAAAAATATATAGATCTTCTATTATTCACCTAAGTAATAGCTTACACTCTCTTTCTTTCTGTATTAACTCGAAGAAAAATTTATAATTTTTATGTATTTTTACATCTATTAAATTTATTTAAAATTTATTTTATTATTAAATATATTCTATTCGATGTTTTCTCTATATATTTTTTAATTTTGAAAATTAATAAAAGACGCAATATTTCCGCGGTAAAATTGTCATTGTATTGAGAGAGACAACATAATGTATTAATAAAAATCTTCAGATTTTTGGATACATAAAATATACAAGTAGAAATATATAT